CCCTTTTCCTCAAAAATTGCCTGCCAATTCAATAACAGAGAATATATAAAGATGTCTGAAACACAGGAGATCCCCATTTTTCTTCAGAAACCAAGACGCGTAGTGAGGAAGTTCTTGGCGAGGCCGCAGCATGAGGGGAATGGCGCCATCGTCAGAAGAAGCATTGGGAGGTAAAAATTCTTACGATAAAATCTCTTCTTTTACCTCGACTGGTTTTATAATCCTTTCCTTCTTTCAGATATGAACTGAAATATTTCGACCCATTTCTTGTTCTGGATGAGTTCTCAGGTTCGTTTTTGTGTTTTCAGTAGCTCGGTCTGTTGATTAAGAGCTTTGACTAATAAAAAAAAAAAAAGTTCTTTGTATCCTCAATCGCTTTGTAATAATCTTTGAATAACGCAGTTGCTACTCCTGCTGGATTTCCTGATCATCCACATAGAGGTCAGTAGCTTAGAAAATTCTTATATATTTTTCAAAGAAGTTTCTTCTCATTGCTTGCTGTCTTCTTCTGTTGCAGGTTTTGAAACAGTAACTTACGTGCTTGAGGTAATTCGAAATCTTCTAATGGCAACAATAAGGAGAGTTACAGAGCTCTATCAATGGCGATCCCGTAGGGACCAACCAATTGATTGAATTGTCGGGTTGTTCCTACCTGATAACATTTAATACTCTCTAACAGATTCTTATTAATTTTTTTATGTTATCAGGGAGCTATAAAACATGAAGACTTTGAAGGTCATGTGGGCATACTAAGAACTGGTGATCTTCAATGGATGACTGCCGGCCGAGGAATTGTTCACTCAGAAATGCCATTAGGATCGGGGATTTCAAAGGGATTGCAGCTTTGGATTAATCTATCATCCAATAACAAAATGTGAGCATAAAAGTTAGAAATCAACCTTTATTTTATTTTATGATGAGTAGATAAGATTATAGAGAGTCATCTTAGATGATTTGATCACATAAACCGTCGGTCCTTCCAATGATCTAAGTAGAAGAGCTATGTTAAGAAAGGTAGAGTTA